AGGTCAGAGGGGAAATACTGGACAAGAGATTGGTCAGTCGGAGACAACCGGAGTCCGCAGGGCGTTTTTGGGAGATCTTCGGGTGATTTCGGGGAAATCAGCTGATCGTCCTGCCCTACTTAAGGTACATAGTCCACGGATCCTAGTACTCGAGTGCATACTAGTACTAGTACTACATTACCTCATCAAAAATTATAATTATTTACTTGAATGGAATTCGGAGTTGGCAATAGACTTGTTATTATTGCCGTCTATGCTCGTTTGAACTGTATAGTATACTAGGCCAGTCCCATTGCGTACTAGTAGCAGTAGTAGTGGTTCTGAGGTTAGGATTGTGGTTGGAGCCACGGACATCTATTTTAGTACCACTACTTAGGGCGGTCTAAGGAGAGCTCATTACCAGCCTTGCCACTGACATGGCAATGCGTCTGTTTACTACCTAGGTAAATGTAAGATATGGTGAATTTTTGGTCGAACAGATGCGGGTGAGCGCGTCGAGTCCAATAATGATTGTTGAGTCAAGATGATCAACTTCAAGTTCAAGTTGAACGTTTGGCTTAAAGTCACAGTGGTCACGGTACTATAACTAGTATATATTATTCAGCATGGAGCTGAGGTTACTACTACCTAAGTATTTCTAGTAGATAATGTCACGGACTGGTGCCCTGACATCATATGATACCCCTTGTAGTACTAGTACCTCCAGTGGTGGTCCCAGGTGGCATTATATACAAGCCAACCATGTGTAACTAATCGGATAATATTCCACAAATCCAACGTCCACATAAAGTTGATTGGAATGGGCGTCACTGCGCCAGGTAACCCCCCCCTTTTCGCGGAACAATAGTACAAATCAGGTATCCTGCCCAAGTGATAGGAGAAAAGTCTTGTACATACGGAGTACAAGAATGATTAATTCAATCCCTCTTCAGCTATTGCGGGTCTACATTTATTTGTTTACTGACTCGGAGGACATAAGTTGGGGATCGGCAATGAAACAAGGGCGTTGTCTTGTTGCATCGAATTGGGAAATACCATAACAACCACGCAACACTGGGCGACCCTAGCAACCATCCAGTTTAGCCATATTGAACTCTGAATCAAGCCACAACCCCTAATTGTACCCCAACTTGAATTATCTGTAAAAGTACTCCGTATATACTTTCGTAAATATGTAACTATGTATAGTAAGGCCCTAAGCCCTAACCCGATCGGGCAACTCTCAGGGGCTTCGCGGGCCCCTGATTAATCACTTAGCCGCGCGCAAGGGGCGCTTGTTTGGGAGCAACCTCCTTTTGGCTTCATGTCTGGGGATACTTGGAGGTTCAAACATTCAAACAGTCCTTTCCTTTTTTTATTCTAATGTCGCTCTGGCAGTAGTTCCTCTTCTCCGCCTCGCCCTTCGTGCTGCGACTTGAAGTGCAGCCCAGCCACCCCACCTTTGTTGTCAGGGCGCAGTCTTTCTTTTACGGGCCGACCAGTTCCAGAGACTCCGCGGTGAATCCAAACTACTTTCTCAATCTCGCTGCGCTGGCCACCGGGTTTCATTTTTCGAATACTCTTATCTTCCTGTCCACTTATCGCCAAATAGCGCTGGTTCAACAATCCCTCCTTCCCTCGACTTCTTTTGTGTCACTCGCGACTCCGCCTCCTCACCGCCGATCCCACGTTCATTGCATCTTGCAATATGACGAGACCTCAGATTATACGCGCTGGTATGTCTTTTTGTCGGAGCTATATCCGCCTCACGAAACCCCGCTTGGTTGCAATTTCCTGTACTGATACCGACTACCCTAGATACACTCGACCTCCAAGACCATGACACTCCGTCTGCGAAGGATCACACGAAACAACCCGAAGCACCAGCTCCTCTAGGGGGCGGCCGGCCTGCCCCCCATCAAGAATCGTCAATTCGTCATGCTGAAGAGGATTTGAAAGCGGAGATAAATGGCGGACCTGGAACGGCTGGGCATGGGATGTATGAAGATGGGGACGATACTGAGGATGACGATATGGGATCAAATGGACATTATGATCATGAAGATGGCGACTTGGCCGATGGCGAAAGCGATGATCTTCTTGATGATGATCTAATGGACAAAATCTCTAGTTCTCCCTCAATTGATGACGGTAAGACCCTCAGGAGTGGCCATTGCGCGGGAAGCTTGAAACTAACTGCTTGCAGAGGATATTGACTTCGAATTTGTCTACGCTCTTCATAATTTTGTCGCGACTGTTGATGGACAGGCGAATGCCTCCAAGGGAGATACCATGGTTCTTCTGGATGATAGCAACAGCTATTGGTGGCTGGTTCGCGTGGTCAAGGATGGAAGCATTGGTAGGCCCAGATCTCTTTAAAGCCCCTTGAACGACACTAATATCAACCAGGGTACCTCCCGGCCGAACACATTGAAACACCTACCGAGAGACTCGCCCGATTAAACAAGCACCGTAATGTCGATGTATGTCTCCATGATCCACCTATCAATTGGATCAATTGAAATGTCTCTAACTTTAGCAGCTCTCGGCGACCATGCTTGGTGACAATTCTGAAAAGTCTAAGAATCCTTTGAAAAAGGCGATGCGCCGACGGAATGCGAAGACTGTCAATTTCGCGCCCCCGACATACATCGAGGCCTCAGACGTTGAATACTCATCGGACGAGGATTCCGAACATGGAGACTTCTTTAACGACGACGAAACCGTTGAATCGGAGGAAGGGGACTCCCAGGAACAGGCCGAGGATATTGTGGTGGAACCCCTCAGACCGAAGACGCAGAAGGACAAGCCTGCAGAACAGGCAGAGGAGATGGAACCGCACGAGAAACAAGAGCCGGAGCGTTCGATTTCAGACCCCCGACGCTCCAGCGAAGAATTCTTCGACCCAGAAGGTAAGCAATCAATTGGCGGCGCTCACCTTCTGAAGAAGAACGGAACTCTTAACTATGATTTATCACCAGAACCCACCGTCAGTAGATCCAGAAATGGTACTGTACGGAACACCGACTCCTTCTTCAAGGACGACACTGCCGAACCGAAGAAAATATCTCTTACACCTAACTTGTTGCGCGATGAGTCCAACAATAACAACAACGGCAATGGTCTGGCTGAGTGGAAAGAGGTAGGTTGTCAACAATCTCCCAATAGTAAGATAATTACTAACATCTGTGAAGCCTCGCGGAAGTATGGAAAGTATTGAGAGCAAATTATCTTCTCAGGATAAGGTGAAAGAAGAGAAGAAACGCAAAGACAAAAAGTCGGGAATGCTCAGTGGGCTGTTCAAGCGGAAAGACAAGAAGGGCAAATCAATCGACGACTATGAAGAGGCCGAAAGGTCTCCAGCAGAGTCCAGTTTCCGAGCCTCGCCGCAACCGAAGACCTCATCCGAGTCTCTCTCGCCGGAACAAAGGCCGTCCAAGCCTCAGAAACAAGCCAGCAATAAGCTACAGAAGCAGCCCCCAGCGACTATGTCACCAACAAGAGTCGAAGCTCAATTTGCGACAGAGGCGGCCAAGGATGTGAATCAATCCGGGCAGTCCATCCGTCGCGTGGCATCGGAGGAATCGGGTAACATGGAAGAGAGCCGAGGAATAGTGACATCTCCAGTCAGTCAGGCCAGCCCATCGAAGGACTCGTTTGCTACTGCCGAATCCCGAGAACCGTTGGCATCTCCGCTGGTATCTCCTGTCGAACGATCTTCTAGCGAGGTCCAATGGCGAGGAACATACGAACCCAAGACGACAGTGCAGCCTTCAGTGGTTTCACCACCACAAAAGTTAATGCCAAGAGTGGTCACCGACTACGATCGAGCGATGGGCGTGGAGTCCCCCGTCGATGTTTCTCCGGTGGGAGAGCATATTCCCATCGCCGCCGCCCCCGGGTTGACGGCAGATGCCGGACCGTGGACACACTCTACATCTCCATTCTCACCACCGTCATCTCCAGAAGTCGACGTGAATGACCTGAAGAGTAGCGAGGCTGCTCCAGGTTCCGTGGACACATTTTCAGATACCCCGACCTGGAGTGATGCTAGCTTACGAACCTACATGGACGATGAGAATGACATTCGCGACCTATTCATTATTGTCCACGACAAGTCCAATATTCCCCCGGCTGGGACTGATCATCCGGTTACTGGTCGTCTCTTCAAGGAAGAGAGCAAACGACTAAAAGAGATGAACAACCAACTCGACGAGATGCTTGTGAACTGGATGTCCCGGCGAGCGAGGAACAACAGCCTGCGAAGTGCGCAAAGCCCGACCGCTTGATTCGCCTAATGTATATCAACCTTTCTCTACCAATGTATCTGTGGATATATTCATGGGCCCGTCGAGTTATCCTGGAAAGACCAGGAAATTGTGCTGGGCACATCAGCTCCGACCGGCCTTGTTACATTCTTTCTCTTCATCTCTTTTATTCATGCAACCCCAATACTACCGAATTCACTTTTGGTCGCATTTATGCCCCCGCCAATCGATACATTTTTGACGACCTGCCTTGTTTTGTTCCATTGCTGAGAAGCGACCTGTGATTCCTTGTTGATCAACAGTCAGCACTGTCTTTGCATTGGATCCTTTTTTGTCTATTTGATTTTCCTGATTTCCGCCGGAATACCCCGAGTCATCCGAGTCATACTTGTTTTGTGTTCTCTTTTTTCTCTATAGTTCATCTATTTGAAGATGACGTATCGCAATACCATTTTGTCTTTCCGTCTTCAATCATGCACAGCCATTTCCAGTAGCCAGAATCAAGCGTAGAGCGGGGGGGGTATGACCCCCTCATTAGACGCCTGGTGCAGGATCCCTGCAATGCTGATTGGAGGTAAGCGCATACCAAAGTTCCTGCACTGCAAAAGGGTCGTGCGGGCAGGTCAGCCGCACGCATGATGTTATACCTCCCGGCTGACTGTCACTGACGATGCTTACTTAGTATAAGACAACTTTTCTTTCTCTTTAGCCTGGAAATACCTTTCATCTCTCTCTCACCTCGAACTCGCAACTATGGCAGACCCCTACAACCCCTACACTTCATACCCAACGCCTACTCCTGGCGGTGTCAGTTACTATCCCCCAGCCCCAGACGAACAATCTTACCAGCAAGGCACATACCCGCACCAAACGCCCCCATACAGCAATGCCGAGTATGGAGGTGTGGCATCGCCGGATCAAAACTACACTTGTGCACCGCAGTCGAGTACATACCACCTTCAACCGGAAGGATACCAGGGTAATGCGCCCGACAGAAGTTACACGCCGGTAGGACAACCCGATCATTTCGATCCGGCCAGCGCTCCAGGGATGCCGATTCAGGGCAGCGGAAAGGTCCCAGGGAATGCGGGATACTAGTACGTGAATGAGATAGGAGAATTACATAGCACCAGCAACAGAAAGCTAACTCGTTTAAAGTAATGCCCACCCTGCCGATGAACCAAGATACACACCATCACACGATTCGCAGCCACCTCCGGTTTACGTCTCGGATGCAGATAGTAACCGACCTCATGATAAAGAGAGCCGAGATTTGAACCGGGATGGGGAAGATCTCGAGGGTGACCGTGGTTTTGGAGGATCTCTTGCTGGTGGAGCCGCGGGCTATTACTTCGGACACAAGAAAGAGCATGGCCTTCTGGGTGCGATTGGCGGGGCTATACTCGGAAACTTGATTGAAGACAAGGCAAAGAAACATGGGAGGACCCCGTCGCCGACCTCGTCGTCGCATGATAGTCATCATAGTCACCACGGTCACCACAGTCACCATGGAAGTGACCATGTAAGTCATCACGGCAGTCATCATGGAAGCCATCATAGCAGTCACCATAGCAGTCACCTCAGTCAAGTCGGGCATGGCCACCACCACCATGGTCATCACCGACATAGTCGGAGTCGAAGCCACTCACGACACCGTGACGAAGACGATTACTGAACATCTTCAACTTTTCAGGTCATAAACGCGGTGATGAATGGGCCTTCTATCCTTTCTAGTTTTGTGTTTGGTGCAAGACCGAGTGTCGATGATACCCATGATGTCGGTATATTCTTTCCAACTGTTCAATGAATGTGGTGCCCTTATCTATTTTATCTCGGGGTTCATAAAGAAGAACTCCTTGTGGTGAACGAGACCGACGTGATCACGACTTTTACGGCTGATTCTATGATTTGATTATTCTGCTACTTTGTTTTTACTGTGGAATGACACAATTTCCCCAGGCCACTATGCCAATTTACTACTAGTAGAAGCTATGAAAATCATTATCTTCAACGCGGAGGGCTAGGTAATTGTTCATATCATACTGATTCTTCTCTTTAGTTGTCAGATTGTTGGCCAACCGAGCCCAACGTTAGGGCTCACCGAGGTTACGAGATAGACATTTAAATTATTCAGGAACATCCATGGGCCTTGGCGAAATCAACACCGAACCAATTGAGGCATGAAAAATCTGTGCGGCTCGTATTTAAGGTCTAATCGACAACACACCTCGTATCTGTTCCCACTCGACCCGCATTTGAGCCTGTCGATCAGGGTCTTTCCTCGCCGCCTTGACTCGAAGGCAAAGTCTGGTGCAAATAACAGAAATATCGGGCCATCAAAAATAAGGGTAACGAGTCTCCAGAGGCGATTTAAAGGACAATATCAAAGATAATGTGCATGTGGGGCCCATCGATGACAATCATAACGGAATCCTCAAAACCTAATCTGAGCTTCGGCCATGCGATCCACAACTCTCGTCATCAACACGAGTATGGAGTAGCGTGCCTCCCATGGCTCTCGGATTCGAGTCAAGGGTCCCATCTGGCCTAGAGCCCCTTTTTATTTCAGGGGGAATACGAGGCACAACCGAAACCCTGCCTGCCCGTTGGTCCCATTCCGGGAGTATCTGACGAGCCGGCGTCCGTTATAGCCTCGTTCTTTGGACTTGGACCCTTTTTGTTCGCGGTGATCTGGGGTCTCCGATTGGTTTTGTTAAGGAAAAAGGCTTGAACCCTACATCTCGGAGGAGTTCCATCTCGGTTACTCCACCAGAGGATTTGCTGGAGGGCTTATTTAGCTTGGGTTTTGGGTTAGGTGGATCGATACGAGGGAGCCATGATTGTGATTATTCTTGCGGAGGCCGAGATTTTCTGAAGGAGTGGGCCATTGCGGCTGAAGAGGGCGAAGAAGAGATGCTGAGGACCCTTAAATTGGAGCCGATGCCCTGGTCATGGAGGATTGATTTGAGTCTTGACTTTATTTTCTCTATATCCTTCTCGAACCTCTTTATTTCTTGCACATACTCTTTACTGAGAGTTGACTAGTACGACTACTAGTCTTACACATACTGCTTTATAATACTATCGCTCTTTACATCCACTGGAAAATGCATTCCAAGACTTTGGCTTTGCTGTGTCTCTCGGCCTCTGCTCTGGCCACCGCCGAACTAGAGAAGAAGCAGTATGGTGACAGCTCCGATGACTACTACAACAGTCTCATGGGAGATCTCAATAGCCTGTAAGAAGGCCTCTCTCACTCCGAAAACTTTGTCAACATGATCTAACATGAGAAACAGAGCCTCCGAGACCGACTATCTCAACTACCTCACGGACTATAGCGACATCTACAGTGACCTGCCAACTGACTACCTGAGCGACTACACCGATTATCTGAGCGACTACACCCTGAGCGACTACAGCCTGACGGACTTCCCAAGCGCGACGAACCTGGGCGGGGGTGACAGCAGCAACACCGATAGTGCTAGTAAGACAACTGCTGATAGTGTCAACGTGCCTACTATGACGACGGGTCCCACGGTGACAGGACTCGGCGATACGCCCCCGGCCTCGATCGAGTCTGTGCTCATCACTGCGATTCCGGCATCATTCATGTCCCAATTGAGCAACCCATCAGCGCGGTCGTCCATCTTCAGTGAAATCGCTGATGGCCACTACCCCCAGTGGTATGCGGATCTTCCTAGCAGTGTCAAGAGTTGGGTGTCAGAACACTATGAGCCCACTGGAGGGTCTGGCAGTGGAAACCATGGAAATTCGGCACCGGTGACCGGAGTCATGGCGTCCGGGGTGGCGGCTGCTGCGGGTGTGTTGGCCCTTGCGGTGTTACTGTAAATCAGCGGAATGCGGGGTGAGGGGAAAAGGGTCCCGAGATTAGACCAATATAATAATCAAATTTGACTTGCACATGTATCAACAGACGGAAAACAGTCACACACAAATGGGATGAAGTAAGGAGAACCACAGGATCGCCTCCGCGGGCCCAAACCGGACTCCACCGGGGTCCACCTGAGAGGATATCAGAGACTTCTGATTGGTTGCTTTGTTGGGTGTTATCGAATGAGTCAGCTGGGAGATAAGGCCCTCAGCCTAAATCGGCGTAGGCTTGTTCAGCTGAGCCCGAGGGGTGACTATGACTTATGACTGCGTGACCACTTTCTCATTCTTCTCCTTCTTTATTCTCTTTCACTTCCTAGACTTAGACTCAGATTCAATCTCTTACAGGACACCATTGTCCCTGCTGTCTCTTTTTTTCATTCCAAACCAACCTGCCTCGAGCCTCGCGACCACCCGGAATCCTTCTCCCCGCCTTATCACTTCCCCGGATTCGGCTGCATCTTCACCCTACCACGCTTGATCCGCGCCCACCACGGCTACCGTGAGCCCTTCTTGGCTACTTTACTAGAATATGCCTCCGCCGCTGTTATACAACCTCGTTGCTGGGTCTCTTCCAGACCACTGTGAACCCTCCTCAGCCTTCCTGACCGCTATCTCCTCACATCTCCACATCTGCCTCCCCACTCCTCTCGCGCTGATCTCCTCCGTTCTCGGCACCCTCAGCATTGTCTCATGGCTCTTCGCCCAGCTCCCTCAAATATTCAAGAACTACCAGCTCCAATCCACCTCCGGACTATCTATATTCTTCCTCGTCATCTGGTGCTTCGGTGATGTGAGCAATCTCCTCGGCGCCCTTTTCACACGCCAGGCTGGCTGGCAAGTCGTCGTCGCGAGTTACTACGTACTTGTCGATGTTGCGCTAGTCATCCAGTTCTTTTGGTACACCCACTATAAAGCTCGCCGGTACGACAGCTACCGTGAATTACCACATTCGCACGATGCGTCTGATCCCACCGGCGGGCTGCTACAGGGGGTGCCCCTGCCGGAAAACAATGGAATACAGCAGTCGCAATCATCGGGACCAGTCAACATGGAGATATCAAAGAAATACGAGGTGACAGACGCGGGCGTGCAGACCGGATCAACTCTAAATTCAACAGTTGGCCCCACTGCGTCCTACTCGAACGAGAAGACAAACTCCTCGCGCCGGTCGATCCAGGTCAGAAGCAGCGCTTCCAGCCCTCCATTCGCACTACCCCGCACCATGCTCATTGCTTCACTGCTTTGCGCCGTTCTAGCCAATGCGAGTCCCACCGGAACCGGCCCGTCGCCTCACCCTCCCATCTCCCACGCTCCCCGTGAAACAATCATCGAGATCGTGGGCCGCATCTTCTCCTGGATGTCAACCCTCCTCTACCTGGGCTCACGCCCGCCCCAACTCATTAAGAACTATCGCCGCAAGAGTACAGAAGGCCTTTCTCCGCTTCTTTTTATGGCCGCTTTTAGCGGCAACTTCTTCTATTCCTTCTCCTTGGCCACAAACCCCAACGCCTGGTATGACTTTGCGCCATACGGTGGCGGCGGCTGGGCCGATGACCACGGCAATGATCGTTGGGAGTGGATTGGACGAAGCCTGCCCTTCTTCCTAGGTGCATTTGGCGTTCTATTCTTGGATGGTTTCATGGGCGTACAGTTTTTGGTGTATGGGCCCCAGGACGACGAGGATGACGAGAGCTTCATTGGTTCCGAAGACGGAGACCCCAAGCGTGGCCGCAGTAAGTGGCGTCGCGTGCGTGGGTGGATGCGTGGATGGATTCCTTCAGCATCGCCGGAGCGTGACGAGCGTGCGCGCTCGGCGACTTCGCGGGAGGGCCAGGCCCTGCTTGGACGTGACCAAGGACGATACGGGACTGTTTGATAGAGTCACCTATCTATATGGATATATATTTAAACCCTATGCCTTTTTAAAGGGTTCGAACAACTGCCTTCGTTAGAGCGAGGGTAGTTATGATACATTAACGACTTTACGACCTTTCATTGGACTCATTCTCGCATTGGGCACTTTCTTTCTTGTTGTTTTACTATACCATGGTGTGGAGCGAGCGGGAGGAGGCTGCGGGTCGGATATAGAGTTGGGAGTTGAGACAGCTTACCAGTGCCTTGCACTTTCGGAGTGTTTCTATAAATATGACATGTATAAGCATCAAGGCAAACAATTATTACTCTTACTTTTTGCTTTCGTAAACATCAGGGCCGGAGAGAGAGTAGCCTTAGAGCCCTGCTGTTCTAGATCTCCACTCAGACGGGAATACTACTACAGCATTACTTAATAGGTAGCTAAAGTAAATAAATTAGAAGCAACAATAAGCTTGGTCTCCAGGGCTGCCAGCATGAACACTAAGTCTTCAGAAAATAAGACAAAATGTAGGAGAATGGTAAGTGAGAGCTTTTCTATAGTTACACAATTAACCCAATCAAGATAGCCCGTCAAGAACCTCAGCCTGTCGAGTAGCCCAGTACTTCCTTCTTTCATACCAGTTCCTGTCAACTGGGAATGGATAATCGTATTTTTCTGGATTTTTGTAAACCCACTCGACCCATGCAAGGTAGATTGAACTTTGTGGCATCAGATGTCCATCTATACCTTCTAGCAAGATCCAGTAATTGTCTTCCTCTTCCTCAGCGAGAATGAAATCCAGAGTTTCCTTGCCATTCCATAATGGGTTGTTGGATGTCAATGCTCGACCGGGTCCAGAACCAGCCATTGACTGGGGATTGAATCTCACCATGTATTTCTCGCGCTTCAAAGGCTTGTTTGGAATCCAAAAGTCAGAGATCAAACTGAGCCAGCTTTTTTCGATCGAATTTTTGTCTGAGCTGGTGGCCGCTTCTCCCCTTTTATTTTCCAAAAGTGCCACAAACTCTTTTTCTTCGTCGAGGATTTCATCGGCTTCTGCATCATCCATGGGTGTACCGTAGTAGAGAGCATTGCTACAGACATTGGTCATATCAGCGGTATTGCAACAGACATGGGTCATATCAGCTAGTTGAAATTCACGGACTCTGTTTATCTCAAACAGTGCCTTTTGTGCGATTGTCCGTCCTTGGACATCAATCAACATAAGCAAACATTCCATGATCCATATGTATGACTTTGATTTTCCACCGGCAAGCAATTTACGAACTGGGGAACATCCGTCAGGGGCACAAGGGCAACGGCAATTGTCACGAATCGAAGCATCTGCACCATGATGAAGAAGTCTCGCTATGGTGGCAAGACCTTCCGATATTGAATCGAAGAACCGGAATTTGTGAGTTGCAGTAATTTTGTCAAAAAAAGAGAGGGTGAATGTTTGTTTTCTTTGCGGTAAAGAAAATCTGCTTTGCGCAAATGCTCCGTGCAAAGATGTTTGACCTCTGTTGTTCCGATGATTAACACTGCAGCCTCGGGTCAAAATATGCCTGACAAGCCTGAGATCACGTTGATATAGAATGAACTTCATGAGAGCAGTTTCGCCTTCATTATTGCGGTGGTCGATTTCTTGAAACCCTGCATTGAACAAACAATTGATCCATTTTGAATCTGTAGCAGAATGTAGCAAAGTGTTGCCGTTCTGAAAGATGATATGCTTGTCTACTCCCAGGGTGAGCATCGTTTCAAGAAGCTCAGGCGACCTTCTCCAACCTCGACCCTGCACTTTTCCCATGAAATGATGTAGTTCACTTCTGAGGAATGCAGCAGAGAAGCGTGTTGTTGCACGAAAGAAAGCAAAAGCTTCTTTTGCGACGTCCCAGCGATCCCAGAAGAAAGCCCAGTGCAAGAATTTTAGATGTCCGTCTTCTAATGGGTCCGCCCCGGCTTTGAGAAGTTCAATCACAGAATCAGTGTACCCATAGGCTGCTGCGTAATCAAGTGGGCTGTTGCCGCAGAAGTCGGCTCCATCAATGTCTGCAACATCGAACTGCAATAGTGTAAAAAGCAAATCTGGCCGCAATACAGCGACATGAGTCGCTGTTTGGCCGAGACAATTTCTTCCCGAAGAAAATGTGGATGTCCTAAAAGATTCGAAATCTCAGGTTTAGATCCACAAAGTATACGGTCCATTAGTGGGGTTTGGCCCCAAACACCTGAGTGCAAGTATTAGACAGAGTGTGTGAAACTCCTTGAGAAAATAGTTCAGACTTACCGTAGGCATTCTTGGAGCATTCCACAAGGAATTTGAGTAGGAAAGGCTCACATTCACCGTGACAGTTGTAGACGGGTCGAGAGTCGCAAAATCCATGTAGTGATTTATCCCCAGGTTCCCAAAGTACTGTGTCGGTAGTATCTATTGAGCAGTCATAACCCGAGGAAAGTAGTTCCTTTAGAAGTTCCAGATGTATTCCATTCATGTTCCATTTAGCAACAAGCGATAGAATGCTATATCCACGGAGTTGTTAGTTGCTGATACCCAAAAATGAACCCAGCCACCTGGGCAAAGGAAGCATCGACTTGCGGTATTTTGGTTCTAATTGGCACACTGCATCCGCACCAGATCCTTACTAATCCGAGGACTAGCCCTGGATTGTTTCTTGGAAGCTTTAGCAGTCTCTGGATCTCTGTTAATAGTTATAACTCTATGCAATCAATACTATTTGAACATACCTCTAGCCATGTCGTTCCATCGGGAAATATATCCCAAGGAGAGACTGTCCCCGCTTGAAATAATCTAAGCAAGTCGCCACATGATGTTCCAACGTCAACTTCCCCGAAGTGGCTTTTGAATACCACCTGGTACCCGAGCGAAGTATTCTTGACCAGCTGTTGAAAATGAAGGCTAGGGCTGATAGAGAAACCATAATTGCCCCAGGAGAGATCCAAGTCCGCCTGGAAAGCCCAAAGCAAGCCAAACCTGGCGAGTCCCATAAAATATGATATCCGACGTTGCTTATTTCGTTTGAAATTGTTAGCGAGACTTTTTGGACCCGCATATTGCGTGCTGCTTCTCATTGACATGCTCTTAGAGTCTACCACAAGTGCCTCCGTCGTCGACGAGTCCATCCTCGTAGCCGTTTCTAAGAAGGATGCATTCTCGATCTGCTTCAATACTAACTTAGTATTTGCCATAGTGTGAGTTGACGTCACGGAGTTTTGATAAAGCAGCAGCATCTCGATATAACCCTTGACTTTAGAGAAGATTCTTTCCAATGTCTTTTCATCTTTCAAGCTGAGGATTGTCTTGCGAGCCTTCGTCAACTTGGAATCACCCTGCTCAGGTGCCAACTTTGTCATAAGACCATCAAGCTCATTCATTTGCGAAAAGCACTCATCGACCAATATCTTCAATGCGGACGATGTTTGCGGATTGAAGTGCCCGAAGTCGATATGAAACTGGGTCCGACGCAATGAGTCGATAAAAAGAGGCAGGTAGATTGCGATATCACGTAGATTCTCTGGAGCTTCATCGACGCGGTGAATGTAGTGGTTGACTCGCTCACATACTTTGGTGGTGAAGTCTACCAGCTGGATGAAGGATGCAACGGCGCCTACCACGGTCAAGGCTTCTGCCATATTGACAGCGCTTGTCGAGTCTCCCTTGGGTTTCAAATAGTGAATTGTTGTTATTTGATGGATAGAAGAGAGAGATGAAAGAGAAGATGTCGACGTCGCTTCTGCCCAGCACATCGGTTTCAACGAGGCTGTGAAAGGCGGGGCTGAAACTGGGCGATGCGCTGCATTCGATCGGCGCGAAACAGCATCCAATGAATATATCGATTGCAGGTTCGTTATCATAGAGCTGCCCTGTTATTTCAGAGGCGACCAGTATTTCTTTGCCAACACATACATGCTGTTTGTAATGGACCCTGGTAATAACCTTGTTGATCGAACGCTCCGCCACCACCATTCGTCTGTGCCTAGTTCCTCCTCTCTTCTTCCAAGGTTCAAGTTAAGGTCTTTCTCTCTAAGCGTATCATTACTATTATCTGAGCATCTTCACACCGTTTCAAACCCAGTGATCTGGAAAGAGAAAAAAACCAGAGTATGGATGCATATCTACCTTGATGTATAAACCGCGTCATAGTAGTATATTGACATTCAACGAATCATCTAATTATAAACAAGTACTTCAAGAAAAAAACGGGATGAACGGGTCCCAACCCGCCAAAACCCAAGCCAACCCTAGGGGTAGCCAAGTAGAAAGTAATGTGTACATGCGTTTCCCATGCTAGGATACTCGCCGAGTCCAGTCCAGTCCAGTCCAGTCCAGCCCAGTCTTGTCACTTCATCTCTTTAATGCTGAAGCATGAAGCCAGAGCCTTGCGTACTGGAATCGCTCTGCAACGAAATCCAGCAAGACGGAGAAAATAGGGGAACCAGGTATGACCAGGCGGCGTTCTGGATGAGCGATGCAATGTGCAATGTGAGAAACAGGAGAGGCGGCATTAAGCAATATTCTTAGCAAGATAAGAGTGACAGAGAAGAGAAGATGGACTGAAACGGGGAGGGGGGTGGGGGGTGGATGCAATGTAAGAAAACGTGAAGGCAATCTTTTCCCCTATGTAGGGGGCCAGAGCCGGAGGGAGGATCATAGGAAAACAGGGGCATATTCATTCGTTGCTTGTTCGAATAATTCATGACCGGGTGAGGGCTTTTCTCTTTTGTTTCTTTTCTTCTTGGGCCCTCTTCGTCACCCCGGGTACTAAACGTCTCTCTTCTTTCAGTACTGCACCCATGAGACATCTGAGCAACGCCGTCATGTACCCAACGCCAAAGTATGACCAGGACGGAGAAGAAAGCAAAAAGCAAAAAGAATGGCAAGGGGCGGTATGGAGTTCTGACCGCAACTCGGCGTGACCAGCATCGACCGAGACCGAGGTATCGCCCATCCGCAAAGACTCCAACCCAATGTGCATCGAGTTCAGATACAGTCTCACGTAACGACAGAGGGGAATGAAAAGTCATATTTAATACAGAGGTGACTTGACATCCTGGACTCCGCGTCGGATAACATCCTCGATCCGCCAGCGAGGAGGGGTCAGCTGTTCAGAGCGCTTGCGGTGCCATTCTTTCTCCATTTCGGGCGGGGGGGGCCATCTCTTCGGTAGGAGGTAGAGCACCACCAGCAATACCGGTTGAAAACTTGAGCTGGAGAACGTTGCCGATTTCGTCGCATGCAGTCAAAACCCGGTCAAGATCTTCCTTGGTGTGGGCAGCGGAGACACAGAAACGAGCGCGAGATGAGACCAATGGGGTGGCTGGGTAGCCGACAACCACGACGGAGATCTTGCGACGAAGCATCTCGTGGGAGAAAGCAGGCATCTTAGCGGGGTTGAACAGAAGAAGAGGGATGATAGGGGAATCATCGTGGCCGTATACTATAAAGCCAAGGCGCTTCAATCCGAGGCGGAGGTACCGCGAGTTGAAGGCCAAACGCTGCAGGCGTTCCTCGCCCTGGCCCGGGACGAGCTCGCCGTTGATAATGCGAAGAGCGGAGGAGATTTGCATGAGGACAGCAGGAGCGGGAGATTCACCATAGAAGATACCGGAGTTGATGGCCTGCAGTTTCTCGATCATGCTCTTGTCTGCCGCAATGTAACCGCCGTTGGCACCGAAAGACTTGGTGAGAGTACCCATGAGAACATCAACTTCGGCGGTGTCAATGCTGAAGTAGTCACAGACACCACGACCCTGGGGACCGATAGCTCCGATAGAATGGGCCTCGTCGACGAAGAGGTTGAACTTGTAGCGGTGCTTCAAGGCAACAAGACCCGGGAGGTTGCACATGGAGCCCTCCATCGAGTAAAGACCCTCCACGACAACCAAGATCTTCTTCCAGGGACGGTGAGTGCGGGGTTGGCCCTGAGAGATGGCCTCACGGAGCTTGAGTTCCAGATCCCTCATATCGTTGTGCTTAAACATGGCGATGGATGCACCAGAGAGACGGGCACCGAAGCGAATAGAGGCGTGATTCAATTCGTCGGAAATGAGCAGATCACCCTTTCCGACAAGCGCAGGGAAGACGTTGGCATTGGTACCGAAGCCCATGGAGAAGACCATAGACGCCTCCTTGCCGACAAATCGGGCAATCAGATCCTCAACCTCAACGTGAAGATCTTGAGTACCGGTCTCAGCTCGGGTGCTGGGGGTTGCGATTCCATACTTGCGGACAGAGTCCTCTGCAATATCGGCACAGGGTCCTTCCGACTGGGCAAATCCAAGGTAGTTGTAGGAGCTCAAGTTGAGGGTATCGGTGGTGGTACCAGTCAGGTAGAAGTGCTGATTATGATCATCGGTAGCCCGGTCAATCAGTGTGATGGTACGTCCGGGAACGCCCGTAACAGGACGCTCGAAGCAATCGTTAATTCGCAACTTGAGCCGGCGCACATAGAAGTTGTCGAAATCACTGTTGAGGGCACCGTAGCCGTTGCGAGACTTGAGATGGCGGTAGTTTTCTTCCCGGAAGCGCTTGCCGAAGAAATCACGAACGTGTCCGAAGGCAATTAGAATTAGGTAACTGATATAAGTCGTAAGCAGATAATAATACGGCGGCTCGTCCATCACCGGCTCCGGGAAGACACCACCAGGGTGTCGACTCGAGTAGCGGTGGGAGGGGTGACCAATGGTGCCGAATTGGGCATGTTGCTTGGCCTGCCGGCGAGCCTCCTCGGGAGTAGGAGGCTGAAAGAGCGTAGTCGGCATTTCGTCCGTATGAGGGTAATCCGCGGTGGCTGTAGACAAAGAGATTGTCGGTAGGGACAGTGATGCCGAGCTGATCGGCGGAGAAGCGTTATTAGGAGGATTCCCACCGGTCGACTGGGAGGCCGCTTGTATAGGTTGAGGCTGAGCCTTGGATTTAGGGGAGCTCGAAAACAGTTGAGAGAGTCGATTGGATTTGACTGAGGACGCCTTGTTGGCAATACCGCCCTTTCCGGAGGAAGGAGAAAAGGACGGCGGGTTGGAAGTGTCGTTGGAGGAGGAGTTGTTGTTAAACCGACGAGGCATCGCACAGAGGGAAGCGACGATTCAAAGCGATAAGAGCGACGGGGGACTTTTTGCACCGTCTGAGTCTTCTGGGACTTTTGGTGGGGAGAATCGCGCGTGTATATGTGTGTTGTGTGTGTATGTGGATTTTCAACGCGTCGAGGTTGAGGCAGGGACTATCGAGGGAAATGACTCGAGAGAGGGGGAAACAGTATAGACCGAGTCAATTCTTTGCTTTAGACTGTCCAAGTTTCTGATTCGTTCGACAACCACGAGAAAGAAGGGTGATCTGAGGTGCGGCGAAATGTTGTCAGTTGGGATGATCCCCCAATGAATTGAAGATAAGAAGAGCTTGAAGATTGGGGGATGTACGAGTGGCGGAGGTGTCGGAGGCAAAGAAAGAGGGATGTTCGAAGTGGAATAGATGATCAAGACATACCTCCAGGTGATTAATTGTGGCTGATGATCGTAAAAGGCGGGATCCGAGGACCTCCGGTTGAGTGAAGCCCTTGGAAAATTGTGGCTTCACACGTGGAATGGGGGCAACACCAAAAAAAGGGGGGGGAGCCGGGAACAAGGAGGGAGAGCCCGATGTTGAGCAAAGAGTCTCCGATCGCGATCACAAACTAACTTGTAGTTTGGTTCGGTTTCGGAGGAGAGTAAAGAAGGGGGGGAAATAGGACGAGATGAGATGAGGGAGTGTACGGAGTACCCAGAGTAAATACGCAATAGTGAGAGTACCCTAGGTCCTCTAAGTAAAATAGTGCCGATGCTGCATCAAGCCATCATGCACTGGCCCAGTGGCACCTCCTGGTATTGAAATTACCCCAGTTTCATGCTGATCTCACACCGCGTAACATGAGTAAGCATTGTATTTTACATCCCAATACATACATGAACTTTTTTTTTTCATTAGGATCCACTGTTAACCAAGAATCGGACCCGAAGGAAAAGAGTTAGTTTTAGTTACTCGAGAGTTACCCACTGGTTCTGATCGTATGCATTGCTAGGGTCGTCATCCGAGTGCCCTACATTGCACTCCTGGGCTGCTGGAAGTAGTTTGATCATGCTTGAATTCCAGGGGTTAGTCCATATGTCTACTCCGTACGTACGTTGCATTTGTATGCATGTACTACGTACGGAGTAAAAGTACAGAGTACTCCGTATCCTGTACCAAAAGGTTGCCTAGAAAGATCGACATGTCATCTCATACGAACAAAAGGAGGCTGTGATGGAGATGATCATGGCTATGGCAACGCTACGTGGGCCACTGTGTGATGGTACCTGCAGGATGAAAACGGTCACGGCCGAGGCAGGCGAAAGCCAAGGCCGAGACCAACACCAAAGACCGAAGACCCTCAACTTTCCCGTTCTTTTCAGGAACAAGTAGGGTCGACTTCCCCCCACTGTTCCCACTGCTAGCCATCGCCTGTAGTCCACTTTCTCGTGGCCTGAGGCAGAGATGTCACATCAGTGGCCCGCATTCCGCATGCCGCATTGCCGCATCAAGGAGAAGAACGCCAATCCCCCTCCTTTTCATTTCCATGGGGGAAGGAGGATAGAAGAAGAGCGGAGAGATATGTAGAGGA